AATAACTTGGAATGGGCTTAGCCCATTAGTGTAGGCCATCATAAGCTCTATGCAAGGAGGCCCAAAATCCATTGAAGGAATTTTTAAAGTTCGGTCTTCAGTATACAGTTAGGTTACAGAGATACTGGTGATAGATAAAGAAATAGTTTACGTATTAATTTCTAAAGAATGTCTACATACTTAGAAATTTGCCATTGAAAACATAAATTTTCCTCCCAAATACAAGATTTTGTGGTGTTTAATGCAGCATGCGGAACTACCAGCTATTCTAATATATGCAAGTTGAGTTTGAATAAAAATATTTATCCCAGCTATTCTAATATATGCAAGTTGAGTTTGAATACAAATATTTATCATTATTATTTTTTTTTTTTTGCTTGGAAGGACAAAAATTTATTCAAAGTATTAAATTAATATGTCCACATAAAAAATATGTCAGCGCTAATCTTAAGGAGATCCAACAACCTAGAAAGGAAGAGCACAGTGAAGGTTGGGCCATTGTCAGGGGATCATGAGGCCCACTTGAGCGAACGAGCAAAGTCATATGAATCGACCCAGCAAGGCCAAAGCCGACCATAACACAAGGTGGACAAAAAGATGACTGGATACGATAGCCTATCCTTCAATAGAGTCGATCCAAGGGAAGATTCAGTTCCACAGTTTCTCCAACAATCCCCTGGATACCCATGGGGCTCTTCACCATGAATCAAGAATTGACAGCCAGGCTAGATCAACTGATCGATCCATGTCAATCAAGCTCAACCGACCGAGTTGATCCCGTCGATCTGAAGCTAGCTAAGTTTAGTTGGTCGAGCCATAAGGCAACATACAATATGCTCATACATGTAAGACACCAAAAAAGCCCTTGCAAAAACCTCTTTGAACCAACTTCCCCCATGTAATATCATCATTGTAAGCTCCTCTATAAATAGAAAAACATTTATGAATGAGAAACAATTGACTGTTGTTCATTCCTCTCTCTCTCCCCTTTCCTCCCTCTCTCTCTCTCTCTCTCTCACAGACACTCTCTCTCTCTCTCTAGATATCTTTCCTCCCTCTCTCTCTCTCTCTCTCTCTCTCACACAGACACTCTCTCTCTCTAGATATCTCTTTCTATTTACATTATGTTCCTTGGGTGTGATTCACGGACAAATCTGGATTCAACATCCTAAAAGGTGTGATGAGTGTGGATCATGTCACAACCAAGAAAAGTAGACCAATGTGAAAAGTCCAAAAGCATAAACACCAACAACATGGAATGCCAACAAATCCAATGTTAAAGGATCAAATGTTGGGGGTCATCTGAGTGTTGTTAACACGAGAGAAAGATCAGTAGCCTCAAGCTAAAGGATTGATGCCCAACGATAGAAAAGTCCTTCCAGCCTTGAAAAGGAAAGCGACTCCCAGAACTTTGAATGTGAAGCTTCGACATTGATCGATCAGTATTAGTTCTGACATACTAAGGTGACTAGCCAGCCCGAGAATGCATTCTTGTTGTAAATTTCTGAAGTCGAGCCCCCAAAATATTCAATATCCTAGTGTTGGATTTCTGCAAGAGGCAAACAAATCTGTTCGATTGCATAGCCTCGTGTGTTTGCTAAGAATCATTGATGCATTGAAATTTTGTCCTTTCTTCACTACGTTGAGTGATTCAGACTTTTTTTTTGTCCAAAAGCATCAGAAGAGCTTACAGACCCTTTTACAACTTTGTCAGGAACAAAGCGAGAGTAAGAACTAATTCATCACCCGCTTCGAAAAGGAAATATTGGAAGTGTGGGACCTGAAACTTACAGTTCCACATGCTGAACTATCTCAAGAACTGAAGGAATGACCCTTCTAATATGCATTGGTCTAGCAGTGCCCGAAGATTTTAATCGATTTGTTGGAGCTGACTAACAACTACATTTCAGTCGAGGAGTGTAACTCCAACCCTACCTTTTCCAATGTACATTCCTTCACTCATTATGAGCAGAAAATGATTGCCCAAGGCAAAGTACAAAAACCTTAACATAATTCATATATTTCCCCCCGTCCTTGTTACAAAGGCGCTCGACCTCTCCAAAATCATAAGGCGATGATATAACAAGCCGTCGAGGGAATCAATACAAATATTTTGACAAGCTTGTATCTTATTATGACAACGCTCGTTATCCAACTATGAAACACTAAAACCATTTTTTTTTTTTAAGTTTCAAAGATTGAAAAAGTAGAGGTCATACAAAATAAAGACCAAATTTGTTGAGAGTGCATGTTATGAAGATCGGAGCTTACCTTTGAAATCTTAAGAAATATTATGCTTATCACCGCGATCGTTGTTTGCATCAATTTTTTCTCTTATTTCACAAGTACCGCATGCCCCTCTGATGTTGTGGGAGAATGCAAAGTTCACGTGTGCCCTCATGTAACACAAGGAGTCCGTGCACTATGTCTCAGGACATTTACCACGTCCTGATCTTGCTCGATAGCGACTACCATTAATCTGTGATGGTTCCCCATTCTAAGGAAATTTGAAAGATCATTCTGAGGCATGTGTGGTCTGACCGAGTCACCGAGATCATTCTCCAACTTTCTCATATTTGGGCAGAGACTTTGAGTTCTTGAGAGTGAAAGGGAGAGCTCCATCTTCCTTCCCAAGGAGTTTAGGGTTTTCCTTAGAGCTTAGAGAAAAGAAGTCAAGAGGCAAAACATACTTCATCTTCTTATTCAAGGAGAAGGCCTAGAAGTGGGTTTACTTCAAACTTCTCCTACATCCTCTTCTTCCTTCTTTCTCCGACGAACTTTCTAGCAAACTCTCTTGAGGATTTGACTCATCATGTCTTGGGGGAAGGACTGCTCTAGCTACATTTTGCGATCCTCGTCATACTTGAGAAACTTTTTTTAGTCGCTAGAAGAATAATAATTGATGTTAAAAAATGGGAATTGATCATATGTTTTAATGATCAGGAAGTGACTGTTAATATGAACAAATTATTGAAGTTTTCCTAAGGCTCAAGCAATGATCAATGTCATAGCATATATGTGGTTGCAAGGGTAAGTGATAGCCAATTTTTTGAATCTGTGGAGGTGAACTTATTAGATCAACAAGTGGTTGAAGATTATAGGGAGAGCCATAATGAAGAATCTGCTTTACTTCTAGAGGGGATCTCTAAAGTTCTTATGGATAGGATTGAGCCTGTGGATGTGACTACCAATGCCAAACCTTTAGTGTATTTAAAGGAAGAAGCACACGAGTTAGAAGTGAAGATTCAACTTAAGTACCTCAAGTATGCATCTCTAGAATAATCAACTTTTTGGCCCCTCATGATTTCTGCTAAGTCAAGTGAATTGCAAGAGGGGAAGGTGGTGAAAGCCTTGGATCATGAAGTATTTTTTAAAATTTATCATATGAGTCGACCCCCAACATATCCTTCAGAAGATTGCTACCAACATGAGATGGGTAGATTACCAAAAAAAAAAAAAAGAATCTGAATAAGGTTAAAAGGAAGAACATACATATTCAAGAAGATTTGAGGTTATGATTGAGATTCCATGGCTTAGATAATCCTCCATGGAAATTTAATTTTTAGAAGATTGACTAGGGATTACAAAAAAAATAATTTGATCATAAAGAAACAACTTAGGATTATTTTAATTGGGTTGGGCTGAGGATATTAAACTAAGCATTACTTGGGAAACAACTAGGCAAACTCCACACCAAAAATAGTGCCGACAATGATGTTTTCTTTCAATTTATTTTGTGGAAAAGCATTATCAATTAATTCGAGTGTGTTTTATGATGTTTTCTTTCAATTTATTTTGTGGGTGCTTTTGATTTGAAGATGGTCATGTCAGTGTTCGTTTAGAGACCTCACCAATGTCAGTTGCACTGGACTCCATTGAACTTTTTGTGATTTTATTTTATTGTGATGCATTTCCGATGTTGACTTGATATTTTACTAGCACTGTAGTGTTGATATTGATGTTTACCTTTTATGTTGATGAGACATGATGTGTTGTGATGTTAGATTTCATGTCATATGTTGTACTTTTTTTCTATGCTTGCAAGTTTCATGTGGCATGAATAGGATAGAAAACAAGTCATGGTGAAGGAGCTATACATGTGTACTTGCTTGAAAGTAAATTGCATACCTGAGTTATAAATTCTACCTTTGAGTAGTGACTCACAATAAGATCTCTGATGAATTGATTAGATTTTATGATAATTTCATAAGAAATGTGAATGTTCATTAAAAAGAACTAATAATTGATTTCTTAATAATTTAGGACTTCACTTTTATTATTCTACTAGAAGCCTAAAAGTTAAAAAAAATAATTAAAAATGTGTAATTGAAAATATAAGTAATTAATAATGGATAATTAAACTTTTAAATCACCAGCTCAAACGATCTAATTGAATCTTAATTTTATAATAAATTATAATATTTCAGAAATGATATTTAGAAGTAGTTGAGAATTATCAATTGGTGGAGACTAGATATTCAATATCCTTAAAAAAAATATGCCTAACCGATATAATAACTCTTAATAGAATTAAATAAATAAACTTAAAAAAAGAAAAATAAAATAAAAATAAAAATTTTTGAGGCCCTATTCTAAAAAACAAACAAGTGACTAGTCTTTTTGAGAAGAAGTTTAAGCTTAAGAATGAAAATATAAAATTAGTATCTTAGTCAATTCTTAATTTATAAAGCTTAAAAGATTTCTTAATGAAATTCTTAAATATTACATTTAGTAAAAAGTTAAGTTATTTTGGGTTGTTTGACTGATAATTAATTAACTTAAAGGTATTTATGAGTATTGAAAATATTTCAATCACATTGGATTAAGTATTTTGAGATAAGTTGAGGCTCAAAGAGTGTATTAAAAAAAGACTAGGTTACAAGAGATTAATGAAAATCCAACCCTGAGATGATACTCGCATATCTTTTATTATGAATTATATAGTCTTGTTAGAAAATCAAAAAGTCTCACATGAGAGCTACGTGAATAATTTAAATATGTCCCAGTTTAGATATGAGCTTACTTACTTGAGGGCGAGTAATAAGTAAGTTTGGGGGAATTTGTGTGAATCAATTTTGTGATATTTTTCTTCATAAATCCTATGCTTTGCTTCTTTATTATGATAAGATCATGCTTATAGAAGATGTTTTTGTTATATTTTACATGATACAGGTGTTGAGCATGCTTTATGGAGTTAAAGAAAACTAAGTGGCAAAAATACTGCACCAAGGATAGGCATGCACGCATCCCTTCTTGGATAGCGACACATTTGTGCCTAGTGGAAGTGCACCCATGCTACAACCAGTATGTTTATGCTTGCCCTCCAAATACGATGCCCTATTTACAAATTGATGACTATGCAAGGATTTCTTACTGAAGTTTGAGCCCAAACTATATTTGAAGCCTAAGGGGAACTCTTGTGTGTGGAGGCTTCTTCTTTCCCTGATATTAAAAGAGCCTTTGTAAACCCTAAGGTTTTCTTCATTGGTTCTCCCATGGAGAAGATTTCTAGAGCGCTCTCTTTGAGAGGTGTGAAGAGCTGTATGTGTGAGAGAGATTTATATGCACTTATATAAGGGAGATTTATGAAGAAATTACAATAATCAGAGAGGATTGTGACGTGTTGCAAGTGGTGATTGGCTCGAGTTATTTGCACATTTTTCTGTTGTTTTTCTTAATATTTTTAATAGAAATCTTCGCGTTTTCTTCCTTCATGCATATTTGCTAATTCTCTTTCATACTCATGTGGTTTAAGGTATGTGCTCAATGGATGTTTTGATCCACGAGTTTTCCTTAGACTTTTTTCTATGCTTTGGATTTCTTATTTTGATTTTAAACATTTCAATTGTAGTTTACTTCTGATCTAATCAAGTTAGGAAGTTAAGACCTTCTGTGATCTTGAACTTCTAATCATGGACCCGAAGAAAAAATATGTTAACACACATTCATAAAGTGGAATTGACATGTTGTCAATAGAATAGTGCAACTAAGATAGGGGATTATATGATTCCTTAGAAACCTTGTATGGTTAAGGCCTCTTAACTGTAATACGGGTTTCTGACATTTCTTATGATTTAGGGTGAAGGAGAATTTGTCTGTGGTTATTAACAATAACATATGAAACTCATAAAAAACCTTTTAGAAATCACTAGATCAATGTCACAGGAGTATCTCTGAATAACTTTACCAAAATTTCATTCTGTTTTTTGATTTATACATTAGGATTTCAGAACCTTTTATTTTCTGCAAATCCAAACACTTCAAACTAGACTTAGCGATGTAGTAAACTAGAATTTAGCATGTTAGAAAAGTTGACAAGTATTCTCATGTGATTGATATGTGGACTCTAATGTCGTCGACAAACTCTATTGTTTAACGATGTATCTTGAATACTATGTAACGAAGTCTCCTAAACATAGTGTAACAAAATATCATGAATACAGAGTAACAATATATCCTGAATATTGTGCAACAACATAACTCAAATATAGTGTATTTAAGATCCGATAATAACTCTCGGCAACAACCAATTATAACTACTATATTGATAATAGGACAAGTTTCTCCTAAGTTATGACTTTTTATGTATATTGTGTACGGATGAGTGTTGCATTTGGTGTAATATTATAACACTTCTTTCTCAGTTGTAGGACAAGTGCCTATCTTTGTATTTATGAATTTATAGTGGATTACTCTGGCTTGGCTAGAACCCATGATTTTTCTCTTTTCGGGGTTTTCCACTAAAAAAGTCCCGGTGCCTTGGTTAGCTACTTTTAAATTATCTCTGTGTGTCTTGGATCTTCAAACACAGAGCGCTAAATTATTACTACCACTGCGAATCTTCTGACACAACATTAGCACACATCACAATTTATTAATTAAAATCACAATTATAAAATATATCTAAGCATATAAATTAATAATCAAGAATTATGTTTTTTGAACAAATTGTCTTGACAATGTATGGTATTTTATGAATATGAAAACATATTTATAACATTATATAACACAAAATTTTATCACGGTAACTTATTATATATCATGATATTTGAACTAAGGAAATAAAAAGTAACATGATTTAAAATAATAAGTAGAGAAAATGAAAAATATTCATTTGAATTTCTTTCTTCTATACTCATAATATATTCAAGTGATCACATGATTTTTTTGAATAACTTTGACTGAAAATTTGTTTCCTTTAGATATATTTATATAAAAAAATAAATAGTATTAATTTTGATTTAATTTTTTTATTTTTTCTTGACAAATCATATATATATATATACATATATATATATACATAT